TTGTGCCCTTATTTGGTTAATCCCCACAGCGAGAAAAGACGATCTGTCTGGTCTTTGGTAATCAAAAGATATCCTTCTTGGATCTTTCAGAAATCCAGACGCAGACAAGAAAAGTTCTATCCACCGTGACGGAAAGCACAAAGGTGGCTTCACGAGAACTGAAGTTGTTTTTAAGAAAAAAAATAGTTTCAGTATTTTGTCATTTCATTGGGTGTACATATCTCTCTTGACATGTTTTTTTTATTTGTTTTCTTTTATTGTGTCTTTTGTTATTGCAGTCACAAACGAAAATTTTCTTGGTTGGAGTTTGTGGTCCAGTTGGTCTTCTTGCTCGTATCCTTGCGGGAATGGCCAAACAATAAGGACCCGTTTTTGCCACAATTCTGAGTATGTCAACTGTTCAGGCGGGAAGGAGTCTGCTTCACAGACGAAATCTTGCAACACTGACCCTTGTGCAAGTGAGTCTTTTGTGCTAATCCAAAGATATTTCTCAACCAACCTGTAGTATTTTTGGGGGGTGTTATAGGCTTAAGGTCTGAGGAAGCATTGAAAACCCGTGTTAAAGTTTGGAGTTGCTCAAGTAGTTACTTTTTACATTTTGTGTCTGAATTATTCTAAGTATTTGGAAGAGCGATACTTGATTTACGGGAAGGTATTGAGCTTGTTTAGTTTAGTTTTACTTTTCTATATACCCTTCTTTCTGTTTTTAGTTAATGGTAATTGGACTGCCTGGACACCATGGTCAATATGTGATCAATCCTGTGGTGGAGGTATTCATTATCGTCGGAGAACTTGCTCTAATCCACCTCCCAAGAATGGTGGGTTGCCTTGTGGTAAAACGAAGGAGGAGATGGAAACTGCAGTGTGCAATGTACGACCTTGTGACGGTAAATGTAGTAACATTTTGTAATTTCCTTATTTCATTATATGAATTTCCACGGTGACATGAAGAATCAGAATTCTTAGAAAGGTATCTCTGTGAAGACAAATGTCAAAGGGTATTTATTGTAATATAGACTAACTTGGGAACCATGAACCGCAAACCATTTGTATGGCGGCGGTATCACGTCAGAGCACTGTTCGGATGCGCACCTATGATTCCTCTTTGGCCGTTAGGGTGTTTGTAACATACGCAATAACAAGCTTCGCCAAAGTAATGTTTCTAGTTGTTTTGGATGATAACCGTCGTTACCAGGATGATTTAGATATGTCAACATGCATTACGATTTATTTTCTTTTTTATCAAGGTAAGCATTGGAAGCTTGTATTGTTTCCCAAAGTGTCAACAAAAACACACATGTTTTAGATTTCATGAGTAATGACCTAAGTTGACACTAATCAAAAAGAAATGATGCACTCATCGAACCCCATACACACAAAGGTCACATGTGCCTGGCCTATGATAATAATGAGCGTGACACACACGCGTACAGTTCTACCAGAATCAGTGACTTAAGCTTTAAAATAACTCACCAGCTGCTGGTAAAAATAGGTAATGGAAGGCATCAATCAGGTTGTAATTTTCTGCATTAGTGCCGTAAAGGAAGTCATGTGTCGAACCTGCTTTATAACAAGTTCTGAACAAAACATTCCGCGTGATGCGTTCGGTGTACTCGTCGTGGACTTCTTGGTATGCTTTTACGCACTGACACTGTAAAATGTGTAGATAGTACGCCCGACAGTATATATGTCGACCGCCCTCTATTGACCCCTCGGAATATCAACAGCAGGAAGAAGAAGAAGTAGTCATCCGAGGAGTGTCGTGGGCCCGAGGCTTACAAGGTTTTAGAAAGCTTCTGCTGCCTCACCCAGGCTTTGGCTATGTCTTTGAAATTCTAGCACTCGGTTACATAATGCTTTGCTGCGCAGACGAGGCATTCCTGTTTAAGTGGCACAAAAAAAAGCCCTGGTGCATGGCGAATGAGTCATTCTTCCATTGGTCTTGCAAATAGTCACAATTCAATTGCATCTCTTATTAAAAGTTTTTAGGCTGCATGGCTGCACTAGTGTAATTAACGCACACTATTAGGGGAAATAGAGCTACAGCAGATAGCCATTTTTCCGTAGGTGCACGCATTTCGCTTAGCCACATTCCGGCTGATAACACTGCATGCCTCAACACTAATATGTCATAATATTCAAATTAAGTGTAACAATATCAGTTTCCAAATAGTCGGCTAATTTTTTTTTATACTTCTCTCAGAAGCATGTGAAGAAGGGACTGTATTTGATGACTGTAGTAAGCCATTACCATGCCAACGAACCTGTCTTGAAATGAGTAATGAAGTTGTCTGCCAGAATCCGACCAAGTGAGTCTGATAAGATTAGCAGCTGCACAAGTCATCGTTACACCGATAACATCAAAATGTTGAAATAATCAAATTTTCCAATTTTAAAAAGAAGCTTAATGAATACCTCCTGTTGCTGGTCAGTATTTTGAAGTCACGTTGAGATTAGACATATAATGGCAAAAATCACACAGCAAATCACTGAAAGAGTGAATTTTTTTGTGGAAATTCCGTTACTATAACCATCGAACAGCACTGATTGAACAATAAATTAATTTTACTGTGCAAAGTTAAATCATATGAACAATAGTGCTTGTTACTGACGTATTTAACATAAATAAACTTTTATGTAACGGGTCCTTTTTTTAAGGTGCATTCCGAGTTGTCGATGCGAGGACGGCAGTGTTTTCAATAATGAAGGGTTGTGTATTCCCATTAGTGACTGTCCGTGCTACATGAATGGTAAAATCTACCAGCCAGGAAAAACATATATTGACCAAGTGGAGTGTACAAAATGGTATGTTTCAAGATATTTAAATCGTGATGCCACCGAACTCACTCCGGACAAATTTCTTAAAATAATAAAAGTTTATAAGATCTACGAAGATCAATTAACTTCGGAGGATATTTATTTAAAGAGTTAGACTTCATTAAATTTTATTTCAATTTAATTGCTTTGGGTTCTTGGTGTACATTGAGTGCTTAGAATGCGAGTCATTGAATGGATCTAGCAGCGGAATGGTTTTCAAAGTTGGGGGATGGGGTGGAGCGCTCCATTATGCCCCACCCCTATTGTGTTTTGACCAAAAGTGGGGTCCTGCCTCCCTCCTTCTTCTAAATTGCTGCCAGTGGAAGTGGTTCCTGTCGTCCGAAATTCATGTGTTGAGTGTCAAGTGAGTTTTTGTCCTCTGTGTTTAGTCAGTGTAAATTTGGCCGAATGGAATGCCAGGACGCACTTTGTGATGGTGGGTGGAGTGGTTGGACTGTGTGGAGTCCATGTGACAGGACCTGTGGTTGGGGCACCAGACTGCGCTTCAGATCTTGCACCAACCCCTTCCCCCGGAATGGAGGAAAGAACTGTTCCGATGAAGGGCGAATGGAAGTGGGGAAATGTAACGAGTTTGCATGCGTAGGTGAGTCCGGAATTAGTTTAGTGAATTATCTGACGCAATATTGTTGTGAAATGCAACTTCCCAAGGTTTACCACGTGTCATTACACAAAAAAGGAATGTCTAGTTCTAATAGTAATGGTGCAGTCCAGTGGAAATTAACTGTCCAATATTTCCTTACCATTAAGCCTCTGAGAATAGAGGATAGTATTGGACTGCGTACATTAGAAGGCAACATCGATACTGATTAGGCCTACCTCGTTTGATGTTAGAATCCCTTTCAGAGCGAGGAGAAAAGGCGCGATAATATCCTGCATCATTTTGCATAACACTCAAATTAATTCACCCTTATTAGCCTTAACGTACTTGATTTAGTGGCTTTCTTGAGGGTATACCAAGACCTTTAATCGATACCTAACCTTCCATGGTAATTTGTGGTGTAGGGCCTGCTTACATTTATCTAACAATATTTTCGACACTTGATTGTCAGTTGACGGTAAACCAGGACCATGGGGGATGTGGAGTACATGTACGTCGACATGTGGAGGAGGAACGCAGCATAGAAAAAGGTACTGTAATAATCCGGTACCCCAGAACGGAGGAGATGAATGCACCAGAGAATTGATGGAAGAAACAAGACCTTGCGCCTTGGAGGAATGCCCAGGTGAGCTTAACCTCCTTACGTAGGCCTATCGGTCTCTGTTGTAGAGTTGTTCATATTGATGAAAATTCTAAGGATAGATAAAATAGGAAAGAAATGTCTTGAGGTTGATATGCTGTATGTTTCTAGGCGGTTGTGGACCAGGCATGGAGTTTGTTCCTTGCAGCAGTACGTGCCTACCAATTCACTGTCAACAATTAGCTTCACAAGCTGACTGTATTGACGAGGATTGTCACTCTCTCTGTCGATGCCAAGATGGCCACCTCCTGCAAAATGGAACTTGTGTGGAACCTCATCAGTGTCGGTGTATGATAGATCTAGGGGGCGATCAGTTACAAGAACTGTCACCGATGCAATCGATCATGATTGGCTGCAAGAATTGGTGGGTACTTTTTCTGAAGACGGGGTTAGGATATTCCATTAAGTTAAGAACCTTAATAGGCAAATTTTGTGATCATTCCTGAATTATTTACAACTTGCTGAGGGTTCAGCAAAAGTTAGTTAACATTGAAGACACCTTTTCATTCACTAAAGTGATTCCCACATGTAGGAAAATCATCGAAAAAATAGGACTTTTCAACAGGTTTGACATCTTATTTTCAGTACTTGCAAGAGTGGTGTCTTAGACTGTATCGAGGAAAACTGTCTTGGTAAGTCACCAGTATATCATCTTTTTGAGCAGTTGGACTTTGTTTGGTATTCATATTTTGCCAATTACATGAAACATGACCATGTGTAATTGTATATCTAGTCTATACATCTGAACAAAGGTTTTTCATTTAGTTAGCAATGCTGATAGTTCAAATGATATTGTAACCTGTCTTGTATTTTCTTTGAAAACAGTGAACGGTAATTATAGCAATTGGTCACCATGGGAACCATGTGATAGGACCTGTGGATCAGGTTATCGTCGGCGATATCGTTCTTGTACCAATCCTGTTCCTCGTCATGGAGGAAAGGGTTGTATCGGTGCTGATATGCAGAAGATGCCTTGTCAAGGTCTCAAGCCATGCCCAAGTAAGTTTGGACGACTTTGTTTTTGGAAAGAAACTTACCGTTGTCTTTGGAAGACGTTTGCTGGTTTATTTCACAGAGTAGGCTGTACAAAGCCAGTACAATTGACATTCGTGCGTTTCTCTTTCTAAGTACATGCTTACCTAAAAATTACGACTTAAGCCACAAAAACTTCAGGCTATCTTATTTGATACGGTCCAGTTTAAGTCAATGTGTCTTGTAAGCAAGTCTGGTTTTCCTGTTTCCCCACTTTTACCCACAGCTATCCCTGGATGGAGCACCTGGTTTTCATGGACAAATTGTGATGTATCATGTGGGGGTGGTACACAAGTAAGAAAAAGATTATGCAATAGTCCCTCACCAGATCCAAGCAGTATGTTGGTTTGTGAAGGAGCCCAGAACCAGACCAGATCTTGCAACACGGAAATCTGTCCCCGAGGTAGGCACCTTTTGTGCATGCTGACTGTTGTTTCTTGTCTGCCATTAAGTTTGGCGAATTATCGTAGAATATATAAAAAATTCTTTTGCTGTCAAAACGAGTTATCATTTATTTCAATGTTCGAAAAGACAAACCATGCAACCGGATTCTGCTGATGGCCTGACAGTTTTCTGTTCTTTGTCGTATACTTCACAGCTTCATGTTATCAGCTGGTTTCCCTACCTTCAAATGCTCCAACAAGCCTAGCTTTCTCTGATGTTCCATCATCGGGATGGAATCCTTCCACATCTGGCCCCGTCGTGTCATTTTCCTTCCCAGACCAAAAGCAAATTACAGCACTAGAAGTTAGAGGCGGTGGAAAAGGATCAGGAGCATTTGTGAGAGAGATGGAAATATCGTATCGTGTCAGCAAGTATGACTCGATGGAACAAATCAAAGACCAGAAAAACAATACAGTGGTAGGTGGAAGCACCTCTACAGTGTTTGCTATATCCATTAATCTTTGTCAAAACTCACACAAAATATGGGTATGGGCTAATCTTATTTTATTAATACACATATATGTATTCCTCTTTTTTTCAAGATTTTTGCGGCTAATAGCAATGATGTAGACACTGAAGTCATCAACCTTCCTCAGCATGGGATAGTTGCTTCATCATTATCATTAATGGTGCTTAATGCTACAAGGAATGCAAGACTTCAACTGAGGCTAAGAGGATGTCAGCCAGGTAGATCATCCATCCTGTCATTCTCTTGACAAATCATTGTGTCAGAACTTCAATGCATAGAACTTGTGTGAAATACACAGACCTTTTTGAAAACCGGGTTGGGTGTCCAAACTAAAGTCAGGTCTGGCATGTAGGCAATGCTATCAACGCTGAAACTCATCACGGTGAATTTAGGGAAGAGGACTTTTTACGGTTTTGCAAAATGTAGCTTGGAATCTTGGATGATTTCTTTTGAAAAGCTTAAATGGTCTGACGTACTGTTCAAAGCTTATTCATTTAAATTATTTCATTATATCTGTCACATCAAAGGTTACTTAGGCCCTATTTGTTTACACGTTTTAGAAGTGTCTTAAGCCATGTTTCCAATTATTTAAATATAAACAAGAAATAGAAATAAAGAAGTCGATTGTTTTACATTGCGTGCATTACGTCTTACATTCTCTATTTTTTTCGTAGTTTGTGCCGGTGATAAGATTGAGCAGGAATGTGGAGGGCAGTGTCCAAGGACTTGTGCAGAGTTGAGAGGTGATGCTATCTGTGTAACAGAAGATTGCAAGAAAGGCTGCTTCTGTCAAGAAGGATATGTGGAATTGGATGGGAAATGTGTACCCCCCAGGGTGAGCAATGCGAATGGGTTATTTTTTTGGCTGTCTGTCTATTTCCAGATATCAATACCGTAATGAGCACGTGCTGTATCAAGATCACACGGAAGATCTCTATGTGCTATGACTTTTCAAACTTGATGAATAAACAGTAATTGTTGTGAGAGAATTGTTGAAGTTGGGGACTAAATTCTCCAACCTTTATTTCTTTTTCATTAGGAATGTCCATGCTTCTTGTCCAAGAGTGTCATACTTAACCTACAACTGATCACTGGTGAACCACCGCTAGAAAATCCCAACAATTCTGAATGTCTGTTGGTTGCTGTAGATCAGAGGGGTAATCGTATGGGACATGGAGATATGGTACTCCCTGGGAGTTTGGTATCTACATCTTGCAATAATTGGTATGTAATAGTACATACTTACAATTTTGATTCCTGGAAGATTTTGTCTGTTGAGATGACTAGGCCGGAAACAATGAATAACCCCAAGACATGTTCTAGATGCTGTTAGACGCAACAGATTCGTGTTTATTAACAGTATTTTACCTGACGAGAGCTAACGTGATGTCATGTTCTCTTTTTGTAGCACCTGTGTTAAGGGCATTATGGAATGCACAACGGAGCGTTGCCGAGGTAAATAAAAAATCCCCAGTTTTACTGGTCAAGTTCGAAATACTTTATATTCAAGGTAAATCACGTAGATCTAATCTAGAAGTTCGTTTAGCCTTAATTTTTCTACCAATTTTAAAGTTTTGTATGTTTACCATTCACAGAAACGGTAACAAAAGCTCCATCCTGTCAAGCGTCTGGAACCTGTGCTATTAACTGCACATGGAATGACTGGGCGGAATGGTCAACATGTAGTAGATCATGTGGGCTGGGGCTTGTGCGACGGACACGATCATACAACCCTGCCATGTTCGGTGGCAAAGAGTGTAATAACAAGAATAATACTATAGAAACCAGACCATGCAGTTTGCTGGCATGTCCAGGTGAGAAAACAAATAAGGTTTGGCAATAAGTTTGTCTTTACCGCAAAAGCACGAGATCTAAACGATTGTATCACCTGCCGTGCAGTGTTTGCACGGCAGTTACGTTAGTTCTGTATAGTCGCTTCAATTTGGGACGGTGTCTTAATTTCGTTTTATTTTCATCTGTATCAATCAGTAAATGGTGGTTATTCCCAGTGGAGCCAATGGTCAAACTGCACCATGTCATGTGACGGAGGAGAGACACAACGAATCAGGAAATGTAATAATCCAACACCAAAGAATGGTGGAGAACCATGCTGGGGACCAGCTAAAGAAACCAAGACTTGTAACAGTGGACCATGCGGTATAATTGTTGAATTGTAGATTGTTTGTTGTTATCTTTACGTTGTTGATGATCTATTCTCTCTAGAATGAAGAAGACTTTTTCTAATCTTTGAGAATTGAATTTGAAAGTGTAGATATTGCACACACAATTCTCAGTGGTGTTGAAATGGTAATAAATAATAATTTTGAAATGTTGTAGTCCCCTTGCACTTTTGCTCACCCAAAGTCTCACATTTGCCCTGTGATTGATTGTAATAAATAATTTTTCAGGGCCAAAATGTAGTGGTGGGAAGATCTTTGACAGCAAATGTGGGAACCGTTGCCCATCACAATGTGCACAATTACAGCGAGGAACATCATGTAATGAGGATGATGGGTGCCAGGCAGGATGTCGCTGTAGAGATGGCTGGTTGGAAGACAGCAATGGAAAGTGTATCCCACAAGAAATGTGTGAATGTCTGGATGCCAATGGACAATTATGGCCTCCTAATTCAAAGTACAACATTGAATGTAATATGTGGTAGGTATCGAGGTTTCTATTTAGGGGAGGGGTCACTTTTCAAAGATTGTTTTTGTCAATTTGACAAACTACGAAACGTTTAATCATCATATTGGTTGTTTATGATTGTTAGTTCAATTTTGTGTTTGTTCAGAAGAAATACTGCCACAATTTTCACAAACTTTCTTTGACTCGAGATTCGTGTTTGTTTCTTTGTAATTGCAGCATATGTCAGAGTGGCAAGATCACTTGTTCTGAGAACGACTGTCCCGTAGATTGTGGATTTAGTCCATGGTCAACTTGGTCCTCTTGCCCAAAAAGCTGTGGAAATGCCATCAAGATTCGGTTCAGGTACGAGTGAGCTTTTTAAAACTGTTCCATCTCGTATGTGATTTTTCGACGTTAAGCGAACATAAAAAGGTAAATATGTGTCACAAGACCAGAGCAGTAGGCGCCTATTTAACATGAACTGTCGGAATAGGGAATTCCCATGATAATGTCGTCTAGTTTATTAATATTTTGTTGTATTCCAGGTCACCCAATAACCCTCCATTAGCTAATGGTGGCCGACCATGCCAAGGTGCTACAAGCGAGAGCAGATCATGTGACCTTCCAGACTGTCCTGTCTTCTGTTCAACTGATGATGGGCATGTCTTTTCAGAAGGGGAGCAAGTATCCGATGACCATTGCAATACTTGGTGAGTTTCACACAGGGTGCAGAAAAATATATGCTAAGTTGTTTGTAGCTGAAATCTGGAATTCTCTGAAAGTCTGCCCCTCTGATATTTTGCCTCTCTCTGATATTTTTCCTGTTTATTTCATACACAGTATCTGTCACAATGGGTTCATCACGTGTACCAACAACACATGCAATGGTAAGACAGACTACCTAAGATAGAGTACATACACTTCATAGATTATCTCATCGGGAGAAAGAAAAATTCCTTGTAAAAGTATTCATGGTATGAGCGTCATATCAACTTGCGAAATCTCATTACATGTTGTTAAAAGAGAATACTGTCTTTCTTTGCAGCTGCTGTTAAGTCAGAGTGGTCGGTCTGGTCGCCTTGTGATGCAACGTGTGGGTACAATGGAAAGAAAGTACGATCATTAGCATGTGAAATAGATAAAGAAGACCCAAGCTGTGTAAATGGCGTCAAGATGGAATCTAAGAAATGTAATCTACCACCATGTGCAGGTAAATGGTGAGATAGAAATGATGGCATTACTAAGTTGGTAACTGTACGGATATTGAAACCGATCATACTTGATTAGATATGGTAGGTTGATCTAAACTGGAGATTTAATTAAGTTTTTCAAATTTACTGGTTTTTGTCTGTTACGGTTTGCTTTAATTGGGGTTCATCAGAGTTTATCTGATCTGTTTTAACTAAATTGATCATACTGAATTTAATTTGATTTGACTGGTCTTAATTTAATTGCAGAGGATGGTAATTGGTGTGAGTGGAGCTCGTGGTCAATCTGCTCTGCGTCTTGTGGTGTCGGTCAGATCTTCAGGTCACGTCAGTGTATGTGTGATGAGGCATTAAATGGAGGAAAGGAATGCGAAGGGAAGCCGGTGGAGACAAAAGCGTGCTTCTTGGAGGCGTGTCCAGGTAATTTTGGACGGACAATAGAGCTAAGTTAAATCACATTTCGAATATCTTTAACGTGATGTGGAAATGGTGTCTTCTTCAGCTCTGATTTATCCACAAAATAATTATAATTGTATTGTTTTAAATTTTGCAAAGCTTTCATTAATACCATCAGTTATTTGAAAGAAGTCACAAATTATCAACTATATTGAATCCAAAATATTATGCTCTGTTTGAGACAGTTATTGCGACGGATTTCAGAAAGCTTTTGCAAACACTATTTTGATGAGAAACATTATTTTGTTTTTCTGAAGTCGACTGTGCATGGAATGAATGGTCGCCATGGTCAGAATGCACGATGGACTGTGGTACAGAGGAACAGATCTCAACTCGTACAAGGACAAAAGCAACAAATGGTGGTAGGGACTGTGACGGTCCTGTGATTAGAACAAAGCTCTGTAACCTTCCTCCGTGTCAACGTACGTTAAATGTTTCTTTCTATTGTATACTGTTATTTAATGCAAGGTTGAAATTGCTAATTAACAGATAGAATTAAGGTATTACTATTCTTTTTAGCTTGAAGTGGAATTAAAGATTTACAGTTATTCTTGTTTATATTGGGTACACAGCCTTTTAGTTTCTCTAAGTTTTTCAAAACAAAACTTTTTGAAATTCTGAAGAGGTTTTGAAGAATTGGAAGTCATGGCAACAAATGTTGAAATTATTATCATTAATAGCTTTTATGGTGGACTCTGAATTGAAGTCATAGAAACATTTTTTGTGTTGATTTACCTCTCTTTGTAGGGTGTATGTCTCCATTTGTAAATCGAGCTTGTGCCACGACATGTCCGCGAAGCTGCAAAGATTTAAGTAAGAATACAGAATGTATGATGCCCAGAAGATGTGAGGAGGGCTGTATGTGTCCAGGGGTAAGTTTCTTGGCTGCAGAAAAGTTTGTTTATTGTCCTGAGTTCAATTACCACCTGGCAGTGGCGTATCCACCGGCCCCTCCCCCAACAGATTTTTATTCAAAGAATACGTCGGTACATTTATTTATTAAGTATTAGCACCAAAACACCTGTAAATAAAAGCAAGGATGTTGGGACATAAGTAAGGCATTTGATTTTTTCTCCCCAACACCCCCCCCACCAAAAGCTGGATACGCCGCTGCTGGGTTGTGCAGATGAATTTTACACTCTCTGTTTTTATTACCTTTACACACGATTGTACTCGTGCATACTCTTCCTCGTGTAATATAAATTCATTCACATTGTCTTGATGTCAGGATTATTTGCTGCAAGATGCTGATGATTGTGTTAAACCATCTGATTGTCGTTGTACTGTCACTGTGTCGGACCTACCGGTTCTGCCTGCTGCTTCCTTAGATCAGCTTTTGAGATCAACAACTTCACCGGTCATCTTTGAGATGAATCCCGGAGATGTAATCGATGTGGAGTGTAATACATGGTAGTAACTTTATCCCACTGTCTTCATGATCAGGCCCTTCGGTTTCCTGTGCAGATAAAAGAGTAGTTCAATATGTAAACAAGGCGTGCTCTTGAATTCAGACTTTTGAAGACCAATTTATGAATCTTATCTGGCGCATAATTGAGGACACTATATTGTGCAAAGATTTCATGAGTATGCAGGCAATGTAGCCTTTTGTCCCAAGCCTCCTCTTCTGCGTTACAGAACCACCGATGTCTTCTTAGTTTCACTGAAAATGTGGAATTTCCAAACTTTGCAACTCCCCTTTCCCTGAAGCTAAACCTTTTGAGAATTTAGAAGTTAACCTGTTTCCTCGTTTTAGTGAGTGTACTATTGGACGACTGGAATGCAGCAACAAGACATGCAAAGGTAAAAACACTCCAGTATGTTCCATTATCGTCATTCATACACAATTGTTTAATTTATGGCTGATGAATCGTTATTAAACGGCTATTTTACGTATAATATTTCAGTGCCTGGTGGTTGGAGTACCTGGTCAGATTGGGTTGGATGTACACAAACCTGCAGCGATGAACTGGTCTACATGATTAGATTCCGTTCATGCAACAGCCCTGAGCCTAGCCCAGCCCTACCTGACGGGGGAACTGGATGTGAAGGAAACAAAGTGGAAAAAAAGATGTGTGAACATATAACACCATGCCCAGGTAACTGAGCTTAGTCATCGTTGCTTGTCAAATCTATCGCTGGTTTAAATGAGGTCACAGTTAGTTGTAGTTTGTAGCGTAGGGATTTAATGGTTAAATTCATCGTTGACGGTTTCTGTTTGGCTTTTATATAATAATAAGATTGTTACAGTTACGAAAACGAAAGCTATAAAATGTTATGTTTTGTAACCTCGAATTTTTGTTTATAGTTGATTGCCAGTACAGTCCTTGGCTGGAATGGACTGGCTGCAATTCACCATGTGGGGGCGGTAGTCAAACTCGTAGACGTGACATTTTAATTGAAGCTAAACACGGCGGTCGCCCATGTCAAGAAGAATTATTACAGTCGCAACCTTGCAATCCCGAACCATGTCCAGGTATGAAACAAAGCATTACAGAAATCCTAGTAATGGTTGGGACCTCAATCTATCCAGTATGAATACAAAGAGATTAGGCCCAGGGGTCAGTGAAGATTAGGACAGTGCACTTCGCTAAACCCACTAACTTTAACTTGTCCCTTAGCTTGTTTTCATCTTTAAAACGGAGGCCCACCAGAAATTATCCTTCCAGACAACAGTTTCTCGGCTTTTCATGTTATGTACCTAGATACACTAGGAGGTACAAACGTGATTTTGTTTACTTCTTAGGTGAATTTTGCCTGGAGCGTGGCATGATATTTGATGAATGCGCAACCCGCTGCCCTATGACCTGTCAGGGTCTGAGTATCCCTTGTATGCAGCCAGTCTGCCAGCCTGGATGTCGGTGTAAGGAAGGAAAATACTTACAAGATGGGGAATGTGTACCTCAGGAAGAATGTCATTGTGTGTTTGACTTGTTTCAAACGAACAGACAAATTAAGCAATCTGCTTGGATGTTGACCGATGATGAGGAAAATGTCATACCGCAAAAGCCACCATTGCTTTACCAAGGTAAAACATCTTGATGTAGTCTTCATTTTGTCTTTGCCACCTTTTGTCTCTCTTCTGGGCCTTTTGCCGAATAATGCAAATTCTGAATCAAAACCGAGACTGTTTCTATGGAATAAAACAAGACATCATCCCAGCTCTTTCCCAGCTGTAAGTTTCCTTGAAACTCGCCTGTAATTTTCAAATATTGTCCTGTATATGTATGTTCCTCTTCCTGAAATTCATACTTTTTCTTTCCAGAATCTTGCAATGAGCCGCTTCCTCTCCCGTCAAATGCCCCTTTATCACTATCCCTTGATAGTGAACCAGATAGCAGCAACATGTACGGTTGGCATGGAGGTCATTTAACACTGCTGTTTGACACACCCCAGCATATTACCGGTTTAAAAGTTCAAGGAGGGGGAGCTCATAGTGGAGACTACTTGGAACGATTGATTGTACTGTACAGGACAAACACTTCAACCATAATTAGACCAATTTTGTCTGATGATGATCTAACTCCCATGGTATGTGCTAGAGTTAAAACCGATAAAACCCTACCAATGGTTACTTTGAAGCGAAAAATAGTTTTATAACACCAGGTCTCCTTTACAACGTAATAATGTGGACTTTTTTAGTGTCACTGTGACTTCAGTTTTTCTGTCCTTGAAGTTGATTTCCCTCAAGTAGTTAAATCTAATACGATTAACCAATAAGCTTTGGTTTTAATTATTTTTGTCTAATTTCTTGGTTCTCAGGTTTTCCATAGCAACAGTGATCCGATCACTATTGCTCAGATCCATCTCCCTAACGGTGGCATCGTTGCAACCTCGATTACCATTCTTCCAATCATCGCTGCAGACGATACATTCAGACTGCGACTACAGCTACTTAGTTGTCCTGAAGGTCAGATAAGTAGTTACAATCGGGAAAAGAGGGTCTCATCGTGAACTTGGGGAGATAGAGAAATACTGATCTTGATGTGGAACTGTATTGCTAAAAAACTCTTAGAGGAGACATTGATACTTATGAACACTACTCACCCCCGATCAGGGTGTTGTTCACCTACTGCACCTTAGCTAATCAGCCATATTTTTTCTTGAAGCATTTCTCAGTTGACAACCGTTCAGAGGGTCAAACAGTCTTCGTTTTTATTATGGTATAATTATGCTGCGAATGTTGCATGCTGTTTCTCTAGTGATGAATGCAATGCCTCATTACATCTTCGGCCCCAATCTATCAATAACAGTCCAGATAATCAGCAGGTAATGAGACGTGACCAGACAGGGAATCTTCAGTTACAACAACTGATCCATTTATCCTACAATCACATCTGTCATACACATTTCTGTAATTGTCAAAATAATGATACTCTCTTTACATACATGAAACAAATAACTTGGGTTTCTTTGTAAGTTTTGTATGTCAATTTCAATTTTCAAACGCTGACGACGGTTTCATGGCTTAGTTAATCATGTACTTAAAAATGTTTATGTCACGCACAAGTTAACCTCACGTTTTCACGGTAAACCCTATTATATCAAAGTTAAAAGAACTTTGAGCTTTTATCAGGACCAGTTTGTTTAAATGTTGCTTCGTAAATTTCATGCCGTGTTCTTCATGTTTTTTGCGTGGTGTTATTTTGCACACCCTTTCTACTTGGTGTGTGTTTTTTTTATATTTTTGGAGGGGCACATGTGGTTTGCAGTATAAAAGAAAGTGTATTCCTCTGCATAAATATTTTATGAACTATTCACATACAGTTATGTAAATGTGGAATGTTACAGACGTGTAATCTATTTAAACTCCTCCTTACTTCTTTCACACTAAATCTTTGGTGCCTAATGCTCCATAGCTCACGAGCACATGCGTCTCAGTCAAGCTTCACTCACCAACCAGAGCAACGGTATGCTATCAACATCGATTTCAAGGGCGTCACTAACACCTACTTCATCTGCAGTAATCCCCATGAGATTCCGACCGATACTTGTTCCTCCGTATGGGACATTAGGCAACAAGGGATACCCACCAGGCAGTGTGCTTGACTTCCCTTGCAGTCAATGGTTAGTTGTCCCGAAGTTCATGTTTATCTCCCTGAGTAATCTTACAGGATATTTTGTTATTCGTGAATGTTCTGCCAGATGCATGCGGCGACAAAAACTGTTGAATGATGGCCTTGTTCCGTCTTGCTCTAACCCCTACCCAATGATACGTTTACTTCAGGGCTGGTAAGCTCATTAAATTAAGTTCAAGGAAATTATCTGAAAAACATGGGTTTGATGAACTTGCTTTCCTAGATGGCCTCTGCACCTGTTCCTAAGAGCAATGAATAGCTGTCAAGTGCTCTTTAAAGACAAGTAATACTTCTCGAGTACCAATAAGAAATCCAACTTGGGTCAGGTTTTGGGTATTTTCCATGAGAGAAACAAATGTGTTACTGTTTGAGAATATATAAGCATTGTTCACAGTTTCACAAGAGTACCTTCTCTAATTATCATTAAACTACTTTCTGTTAAACTCTCTGGTACCTCATGAGGAGACTGTGTTGGAGAATCTGGGAAAGATTCTGATTAAGTTGTTTTGTAGATGTACTTGAAATAATTTATCAGTTCGAATTAAATTAGTTTGCAGTTAAGTTTGTTTTCATATTTTTCCTTGTTTTTTTTCTGTTTGGTTTCCTAGCAACTGTTCTGGTGGTTTGTTCATGTGTACTGATCTACCGTGTCCACACTTTGATAGTTGGACAGCTTGGACAGAATGTACAGCATCATGTAATGGTGGTTATCAACATCGTAGCAGGGAATGTTTAGATAGAACAGCCGAGAAAGACTGTAAAGGATCGAGATTTCAGACAACAAGATGTAACATGGAGCCGTGCTCTGGTAAGGTTGAAAGAGAGTTTATTCACTATTATTCAAAATTATTGCGACATCAATTAGTTTATTCTTCCAGTTATATAGAAAGAGGCTAAATGGAAGAAATAATTTTTCTTCTTTCATTAGTTGATTGTCTGTGGGGTGCTTGGGGTACATGGACATCTTGCAGTGCTATCTGCAATGGGGGTACCCGTCTCCGTTCACGTCTTATCCTCATCCCTTCTCTCTTTGGTGGGCGTAACTGCGATGGACCCAAGACACAACTGGTTCCCTGCAGCACTCAGCCTTGCCTTACTTGCCCCAAGGGTACTACATGGTCAGCGTGCGGGAACCGCTGTCCACGGGACTGTCATGATATCCAAGATGGCAGCCAGTGCATAAATACGGAGCAAGGTTGCCAAGAAGGATGTGTCTGCCCAGATGGGATGCTGTTACAGGACGGTCAATGCGCACCAATCAGTGAATGCCGTTGCGTCATCGACCAGAGCATTTTTGGTGTAGTAACACCAACTGAACCGAATAAGACGCATTCCCATTATCACAGCCTCGCTCCCAAAATAGAATACCAAAGGGGTGATGTCGTTTACAACAAGTGTAACAAGTGCACCTGTCAAGGAGGCCATTTCCAATGCACCAATCACAACTGTAGGAAGGATTGTGGATGGAGTGAGTGGTCTGAGTGGTCAAAATGCTCAGTAACATGTGGATCAGGCATCAGGGAGTCCCATAGGACTCCAGATAACCCTGTTAGGGCATACGGAGGAGTTGAGTGTGAGGGACCCAGTGAGAAGAAGGAAAGTTGCTATTCTGGGGACTGTGGTAAGACAATTTTTACACTGCATCAACTAGCTACATATTTCAAAAAGATTCTTGACACTTATGAGGTGTCCATTAGCGAATTTGCTAAGGTTGCCTACAACATGCGATTCTTATTGAATACGGAAAACTAAATTAACAATTAGTACTGATTTATTAATTGGCAGAATGTGGAAAGAACGAGATCTTCAGCCAGTCAGCCACTCTCTGTCGTCCTACATGTCAAGACATACACAGATACCAAGACAGAGTAATCATTCAAGACCTGGATACCAGTAAAGGTCAATCAGATTGTGGCCAGCCACATGAGGCTTGCATTTGTCAAACAGGTACATGTAGTGAGTCCTGGAAGTTAATAGCAATATTTTTGCTCTATCCGTTTGTTTGCTAACATTTCTGTCCTCGTGTAGAACAGAATTTCAATTGAACCCACATTTTTAAACACGAACTCTCCTCGTTTTTCAGGATACTACTTGAATTCTACAGGCGGGTGTGTGTTGCCCCACCAGTGTGAATGTTTGGATGAGGAGAGGTTGCCACGGAAACCAAATGAAGAATGGAGACCAGATAACTGCTCTGTTTGTTCGTGTAGGAATGGCATTGTGACATGTGGTACTACTTGTAATGTGGTCCCATGTAGTGAGGAGGTGAGATAAAAGATTACAACTTGTTGATCTTGGAGAGAAATCATCTTGGTTACTTCGATAAACTGGAAAGAAAATTGCTAATGTACTGAAACGGTCCTTTGCATTGATATTTTAAACAAATTGAAGCATTACATTTGTCTTTGTCTCTTCTCTTCTTTCGTCTTCGTACAGAATTCTGAGTTGGTGTATGAGCCAGACGGATGTTGCCCTGTCTGCAGAAAAAGATTCCGTAAGACAATTTTTTCCTCTGAACTTGCAAAAAATTAATGTCAGTAAATAAACATATTCATAGCCTACCCCTGCCTGTTGTTATAAGAAAAATGAGAAATTAAGTTTGAGGCTGCTTTTCTCATAAACACTAGAAAATGTGGAAACGTGCCACCTGGAGTTAGTTACTCGCAACATCACAAACTCTGCTGGTTGCCATGCCAACGATGTACAGCTAAGCATCTGTATAGGAACCTGCTCTCCAGCCAAGGAGATCACCCTTAGTGAACACCCCGAGTTCTCTGTCTGTCGATGCTGTCAGGGAGTCTTGGAGAGGATGAGTGGTATGCAGAAGGCAGAGGAAGTTGACTTTGAAATGGTTGCTATGGTGTGTGAGGATGGGAGTATCATAGAGACGCCGGTTGCTAAGTACACTGGATGTACCTGTGAGAAGCCGTGTGGTTAGTATAATCTGACAGATAGACTTCAAAAACAAACCGAATATTTTCCACTGGAGAACTGGAATGTAACTGTAAAACGTATTTCTCATTGTTTCACGGGTGTTTTGATCTCTTTTTATTTTCAGGCGTACCTCTTGTATACCAAGTATTACCATAAATGCCGAAAACTGGAAAACATTGAGAAGGTCGACAAAATGGACCATCAGCAGGAGTAATCTTTGACACTTTAATCTTTAACTATCATAGATCACACAGATTCATTATATTTAAAAGATCACTATTTAAACGTACAGAATTTAGAATTGTGAAGCACTGGATATTTTGTTAATTACATTTAAGTGATTTCTTGCAGTGAGTGGATAATCTTAGAAATTATTTAATGGGAGATATTCGAGGCAAATGAAATGAAATGTTTCCAAATAAGTGCACGAAAAAAGTCTGAGATAATTATCAAATTTAGCAACTTCCTTTCCTTTTCAGCTACATTCAAATGAGGTTGGTTTAAACTTGACCAAATATTTCCCCACGCACATTATTTTTCGGGTTGCTCTTTTTTCGTCATATACATCCCCACAAGAACTTGATCTATGCTACTTCCAGCCTGAACGGAATCTCTCTTGAAATCCTTATCACTACAATGATCAAATTGATCATCATTTTAATGCTTTAGTGACTCTGTTTTAAGCAAACTAAGGACATGGACTAGAATGCGTTGGTTCAGTGTTTTTTTTTTTCTGTTTGCTTTTGTTATCTTTTATTCGTTTGTTTATCGGGATTTACCAGTAGCAACTCACACACAGCATTCATTGCAAGGTATCACTTGTTTTTTCGATTCATTTCAAATAAAGATTTCATTTTCATTGACGATTGTGGATGAAATTGTGGTTTTGTTTAGTTTACGCATCAAACTATAACCGTTGGAGAAAGTGAACTTTGAATCACTTTTTGGCCTCCCTTCCATTTACATGTGGTTAATTTCTTTGTAAGTGTAAAATAAAAATTGTCATCTGATGAGCCGTCAGTTGCCAAGTTGATTAACTGATAGATAAAATAATGAGCCGTTGACCAGTAGAATACGGGTTCTTGCACCGATTTCGACCTTCGAAATGAAGAGCGTCACAAAACAACACTGAAGAATGCCCATATGAGTCGATCTCACTAAATCAAATATTACCGGTAAAACTCGGCGGGCTGTGATAAGAATGGCCGGCGGCAGGCCGTATCACGCTGTTCCGAGACTTAACTCGGACTGCAAGCAACTGGCGTCCAGCATTCCAATTGTATCAGTTACATAAAAAAAAAAACCAAGTGAGTTGTCACCGCTGTGGTAGGCGCGTCATGTAGCTGCACGATTTACTATGATTTTCATAACTGTCATTTCTCTTAGATATTGAGTGTATTAGTCAGGTCTATTAATTATTCACGTGCTGTTAGACAGACGTCGCTATAATCCGACGGACGTGAAGCTTTGTAATGCTTGGTGTGTACAGACTTCTGTTGGAAATAAATTGGACTTCAAACCGAGCTGATTCGATTCGTGGTCGATTCTTGAGCTCAGTGTTGATAGATTGTGCAGTTGTACGACGTTGAGCACATGGACAACAGATGTACTGACGAAGTGTTTCTTAGGTTAAATCCAAATCCAAAACATGGATTAACTTCCTTCTCGCATCCGTGATCGTATTGGAACTTTCTACGATATCTAAATTAGACAAGGTTTTTTCCCTTATCACATCTGGTCGACACTTCGAGCAATAGTTTGTTTTGTTTTATCTCGTAGCATTCGTCAGCAGGAGTGAGTGCGTATGTATCACTGCAAACCTATCTTCGTCAACGTTTTAGTGTTGCATATCCTGTATACGATTCTTTGTTTGAACACTCCTCCAGCTTGGACATAAATTCGCGGCCAGACCTAAAGCTACATGTGAAGATGGCTATGGTGCAGATGTGCGTCCTGGGACTGTATGCTGTACTTGTCTTTATGATGCAGATGAAGACGTACGTTACATATGGTGAGTATTCATTTCATTTTACTATAGATGTTTTTCTGATTAGCATGGGTTTCAAGAGCTTTGAGTAAGCAAGACATGATGGATGTTTAATGTAGAAGTAAACTTAATTTCTTTCTTCAGTCAAATTTTAAAGAGTGAGGTTTTCTTAGATAAACGTACATTTCACTTAGAAATGTTTAAGGTCATATACATTTATGCTCTCTTGGTCTTCAAAAAACAAGTTTAGTGCACCCCAAGGTACCAAAAACGCGTATTTTGCCATAGAACTGATGCCTTCTTGCCAATTGTTGTATTCTTGTGTATTGTATTATTTCTAAATAATTTTCCTACTGTTTTTTCTCTTATTTGTAATCATACCAACGCTTGATTGTTAGCAATCGACGGAGCGTCTCAAATGTTCGGTTCCTAGGCTTGGGGCAAGTACGCCGCTTGGCCTTGCTCCCAGACGGCTACGCTCTTTAACCAGAGTAGAAACATGATTCAAATTCTCATTTATTTGAATCCGGGGAAAAGATAGGACAGACTTTGAAGTGCAGGCACCGCGTGAGATTAGACGTGTGATAGTACAGATCATATCGAGTCCCACATTAATTTTGTACCGAAACACAGGAGAGTTTCATAAATCATTAACGTGCATTTCATGAACAGGGAGCTTTTAGATGGACTTTGTAATGCACCCGGCCAAATTACCCAGTTGGCTTGTACAATCGAATCTCATGATTTAGTAGTATTCAATCGCAACGTCTGCCGTTGTTATTCCTCAAACTTACAGTACACAGAATCTTTATCTGTTTTTAAAAGCTCTGGCTTACGAGTTGCACGGTCGCTTATTACTAGCCGTCACGTTACTCATTGAAACGCGCTGTTTATTTTAGAGTCGTTTTTTTCTCGAAAGATTTATCATCATGGCAACAATCGTCCCCACACAGTAGGCTTTTGTCTTAAAAGAAGTGGTTTTCGTTAAATGCACTTGGAAGTCGTGTAAGCTGTGTGTTTTCAGCGTGACGTGCAATGTTGTGTGTATCACTGGTCTTGTCTCATGGCTGGTCTGACCGAAGTTTAATCTTTTAAGACGCGTCTTAACATTGCCTCGGCTAGCCAAAATTTGATAATGCAAACTTTTTTCTTCAAGGCAACAGAAAGAAAATCGTTGATTGATGTCTTTAATGGAGCACACTTGTCGGACGAAGTTCAGTCTCAACGAAAAAGTAGCCCAACAGAAGATTTGTACCAGTATAATCTGTACCATGGTGCAGAAATGGCTAATCCGTGCAGGTTTATGTTAAATTGTACGTCTAAGATCAGAAGAGATGTTGAGCGTTCAATGATGTAGCATGATGATTAACTCAACGCGCGATGATGTCGCATTACCTCCTCAACGATCAATCCTCAGAAGGCGTCTTTAAAAAGTACACCAGACCGACCGAATACCCACCAGATTGTTTAGAATAATTCAGGTTGCTGTTTACGAAGATAGTATGACCGTGGATGATAATGTAAGCATTCCCGTCTTCTCCTGACGGGTGGGGGGTGACCGCTCCACACAGCTTCTCAGCCTTCTTCTGGATCGCGATCAGTGTTTACATTTCGCTCCCTGCCATTTTAAGTGAAGTATTTTTACACTTCTTGCCAATTCAAACAAACAGCTAGCATTCTGGACGTTCGAAGTAGCGTGTTGGATAGTAAACGACTGCAGGCTTCTCCCTAAACATTTCCTAAGTGGCGTGATGAAATGGAGCTCATTTCTCAAATATTTTGGTCGTGCGCCGACAACAAAAATACCGTCTTGCCATTTTTTTTTAACTCGGGCCGATCGCCTCGGGAGAGAAAGATGCTTTACCGTCTTTTCTTTAGGCCTAAACCTGTCCAAATTCTAAAAGCCCTGGCCCATCAGTCTACCCTTCAACCTCGTCTATTCTTTTTTCACGGGGGCTTGTTTTTTCATCACTTTCTTTGCGTTAATGTATTAGAAAAAATGAGCACCAAACTTCAACCTCGATGATCCTCGATGATCCCCCTACACACGCACACACACATACCTCTAATACCTTAAACACCATCCCTTGCATTTTCAACATCACCTTTCTTCGATCGCGTTTTTGTGTGAGGCCCCCCGCCCCGGCCCCCTCCCTAAAAAAATCCTCTAGCCGAAAATTGTTTCATGGGAAAAAGGAATTAGGACTCTTTGTTTTTAAATTTATTTGGAGGGTTCCATTTGGTAATACTCTTTTGAGAATCTCAACTCAGATGAACCAGAAAATCACTCGGGTGAACTTCTTAAGTTTATGTCTGTCACGTTAACGGAACACTGGATGGGTTAGTGTGTTGAATTATCATGACGTTCATGTGCCGTCTTATATATTGGAGTATTTCTACCAGCTTTGAGTCAACATTTCGTCCACATATTTAGCGGCATGACCAATAAAAACAACAACCGGTCTTGTCGTCTGTGAGTGGTCAGCGCGCGTTGGGGAGTCTTTGATACTGTGTACAGTGGGTCAAACAGGGCAATCCCCCTCGTCTTGGTAACCATACACTGACGAGGAACATTGTGTCGCCCGTATGAGCCAATGAGTGAATGGTTATTTGGTAAGCAATGGACCACACTCTGCCCACAGATGACGAAATCTGGCAAGATTTAAATCTGGCAAACACATGGATATATTTTGTCCTGTCGGTGGGAAGTTTACTGAAATCTACACTGTGCTGGTTGGGAATGTGTGGGAAATAACACCACGTTTATTATGGATAACCACATGTCTGTTAGTTACATGTATCGGATCTTTATGAGTACTGATCTTTGCTGAAACAAAAAAAAATAAATAAAATATTGATTTTTCAGCAAGTATGACAAGCTTGATTATGCAATATTTTTGGCAACATAAAATCTAACGATATGGAACCAGATGGTCACCTCGTTTGGGGAATGATTCATTTCTTATGGGGAGTTGGTTGCCTAACGTAAATGTAACATTCATCTAGGTTAATAAACTTATCTTGGTGTATGCGTAAAACCATGGGGGAAGGGTAAAACATTCACTGAGGCATTTTGCTTGTTCTGAATCAAAAACTGGTTAATTAGACCTCTTAAACTGCACATAATTACTGTGCGGTAATTATCGCTGAATCCAGTGGGCATTTGGTATTCATGGAGGTTAAAGCAACAGGGTCAGTTATTCTAATGCAAAATCGTAAGAAAGTACTTTTTGCAAGGTCAAGGCTAGTAGTCTTATTAATAGCATCATTGCACGAGCGCACAGCACGCATGATGTTCCTGGCGAGAGCGTGTCCATCTTTAAAGGGGCTTCGATAGTTGTATGCTCGGCACTAAGGGCAATGCCTATCTGGATTAACCGGAGTTTGTCTTGCGAGATGGTCTATTTTGGGAAAGACTATTTTGTGAATGTGTTCCCGCTGTACGGTAGTGATGAAGGTACACGAAACTTTTCGTTCACTCTGTTCGCTGGTTCTTATCAGTTCTGGCAAAAGCAGACAACACACGAACCCAGGAAATGTCACATTGGCGCCTTCAATCACCCGTTTCAGGCAACTAGTTGTTATTTACGAATTTTAGGAATATTTACATTGTGTTTCCTTTAAACACACACTAACAAACCCAGCAGGTGGCTGTTACTGTGACTGTAATTGAGTACCATGAGTTTATAGCCTACGGCACAACCCCCTACCATGCTCGTTATCCCAATCATTTTGCCAAGGTAACCCGGGGATTAATCGGAGATTTCAGAAACCAGTACTGAGGCGATGCAAAAAAGGTTTAATCACAGAGGAATAAAAATGCCTCCATTGCATAAAACGTCACAAGTCTTCGTCTTTGTCCGGGGCATCGTTCATGATGTCATTCGTACAGTGAAATGACATTGTATAAAAATCACCTGAAGGGAAATTTAAAAATTGTGTGTTATTGATGTTAGGGATTTTATGACAGTTTTGCCCTCTGGTTAGAGCAAAGGAGCCTATGCAAACTAAGAATGTGTCAAGGGTCAGAGTAGCGTGACGAAAAAAAAAATCAATTAAGATAGATACAACTTACCTTCCTTGGCCGCTGATGGCGCTCTTTATTAAAATGGACGGGCACGTCATCAGGGAAAATAATATTGTCTGCCGTCCAAGACATTCGTGTTTGGCAGTTTCAGTGATAAGCAGAGAGTAGCTTATATACCCAGTTTTTATTTCTAAAGAGCAAAAAAGGTTGTAGGCAAGATTCAAAATCCACAATGAAATGTTTCATATCCACAAGTTCCGTAATTTGTGTCATATTTGCTTTTATTCAACCAATGTACCGATAAAAAGTGACTGAGCAATTCGTGCTGGCGTAATTGGAAGGGAGACGTTACAAAATTTAATTCATTAATATCAGCTTCCAGTCAACGGTCGTATCTTCATTGTCCCTGTATTCTGGACATTGATGACTCAGCTTCATAAATTAAGAAATAATTGCACAGATGGAATGGGAATTTTTGAGCATTTGGTTTGGAGTTTGAGGAGCAATTCTCGCGGCCTTTGTGGGCAGATTTGGCATTGGTTGATTTTTCGGTGCATTGAGTGTATATGGGAGCTTTATTGGAAAACGGAATTTGATGTCTATTAATTTGCCATTGCTCCATACCGTCTTATGGTCTATTTTGGTCTCATTTTCGATTAATGCATTCTAAAATAGTGTGGCCTCGACCCCGGCTGAACTGCTGGGCTCTGTGAAATGAGTATAAGTAGATTATCAGGCGTGCTGGATCGGGCGGGGTGCTGGGGTCAGCCTCCACCCCATCTAAATAAATAAATGAAATAACAAAAATAGTTACAATAAAAGAGATCTTCTGCGAGGGTTATTATGTGTATCAGTAACAATGTAATGCATCACCTCTGTATTCTCGTACTACAGTCTGCAACAATCGGGCAATAAAAGAATCTCGTGGGCCTGAGCAACCACGCCCCCCCCCCGAAAATTCCAGGATCTGCCCCTGATTATCTACTCTTGCAGTTATAGCAAACTTGAAATTAAAAGGGAGAAAACGACACCATAAAAAAGACTGGTTTTCTTTTTAATGATTAAGTTATTACATTTCAAACGCAAACTCTGAAATTTGGGCAAAACGTTTATCAACCCACCCATGGTAATAAAGACTCACTTATTCATGCGTGTACATGTAGATTGTTACATTAGTAATTTGATAGCGTTTTTAAAATCAAATTCAGTCATTTCAATGGTCTATTTCAGGTCAGCTTATATGCGCATGTACAACAGCAGCGTGCAACGATACGGGAAGCGTCACATGTCATGCAGTAACTTCATGTTATACCCAATACCTTGATCAACGTGACGGCAGTTCACCAATCACGCGTGGCTGCATCGACGAGAAAACGCCACTGCTTTGTGAAAACAGGTATTCAAGGATTCCCCTGTTACAGTAAGAATTAAATGACAAGCTTAGCTGAAGTGGCGATGATTAGAATCTTGCCCCAAACGTTCACGGGATGCCTTTTAAGGCACAATATTGGCCCGCATATTTTGCTAGTTGGTGAATCATGGTTTGACATCGTCTTTAAATTATTTTATTTTCAACATGTGAAGAATGCACCCTTTTCTAGTGAGAACTCAATACCAGTATCTGAGACCCATGAAAAGACAAATTTTAATGAACTTTATTCTGTCCAGTAAAGCTTCTATATATCTATTTCAAAATATGATGTGTATTTTCCCTTGTAAGGAGGCCATTTGTTCCTGTGACACCTTGGCCTCATCTCCGGTGCTGCAAAGAATCCATGTGTAATGCAGACACTGTCATTTTAACACCTCCAGCATGGCCAAGGAGACTTGTACAGAGTACGACAGCCCAAGGTGACGTCATGCAGATATGAACTCAAATTGATATTGATATTGATATTGAACTCATTCTCAAATTGATTAAGATGTTTAATTTCAAAGTTTATACAAGTGAGTATTAACTTTAGTCAGTACTAGATTATTAAGAAACTGAAGTGTTTATATGACAGCAATGATTGATTGTCACTTTTTTCTTTACAGTCTTTCCGACAGGGGACATTCGCCCTCATCATAATTCGAAACAACCAGCTCAAAACTCCGATCCAAAAGCTGAAAATGTTAAGCAGCCCATTTTAATCATAGCACTCCCGGTCGTCGTTCTTTGTCTGTTTGTAATCTTGCTCATCGTTGTTGTCATCATAGTAAAACAGTCACGCACACGGCACAGAACTAGTGAATTTGGCGCCAATACGAACACTACTGGGTTGCCCACCAGACGTGGCAGGGGCGTATTATACAACACTGGTGACCCATACGTGAGGGAGAAGTTCTTAAGTAGCGTACCAGTTTGATGGCTGGTTTTCATCAGTTACCAACAGCTTTTGTCATATGCTACAGGGACTTACGGAGAATTACACCAACACGTATAAACCACTGTGTTTGTTTCCAATCACATGTTGGTCCATATAGGTGGTATTTACAAGCATGTGACCAGTAGAAACCGCTCCATACACAAAGATGTGATCGAGCAAAGTTCCTGCTCTTGCACCAGTTACTGTCTTGTTTATTTGAGTCGGAGATGTATTAGATTCGCTGGGCTTAACAATAGCATTCACTTCGAATTTCAGGTCGCCTGCCTGTAGACTTGCTATTATGTTTGGCAGACATAGGGTTTATTTTAGATCATAACTCAATTGGAAATAGAAATTAAAAATGGGAACAGGGAAATTGTCTCATCTGTCCTTTGCTGTCATGTTTAAAGTTAGTGCATTGAGATTTGTTTGTCTTTTTAAAAAGATTAAATACAGATAAGTGAATATGAATTAATCGTAGAAACCTTATCTGTTTCTTTTCTGTATCAAATTTCTATTAACCCATTTAAACCGAAATGAGGGGGAGCTCTTGAGAGAGAAAAACATTGGAGCATTTGCACTGATGCAACTATGTACCTATAAATCCCCAGCTCCAGCCCCGATCGGTTTGGTAACATTTTTTACATTCAATGGCTAACCAGCTATTAGTATACCGGTATCATTTTACCTTTATTTATCATATTGTTTCCATTTATGTTTGTATTCAATTTTAAAAATCAAATTTCATAAAGACATTGTTGAAATTCGTCTCTTATAAACTTCAGGTCAGCACACCTCCAGAATGGCATCACCCGGTTCCCCTCCCTACCCCCAGTGCCTATCGTCCATTTCATACCTTTATCCACCCTTTACCCTCAAGTTTTCCTCAATCCTGAACACTGCTTTTGGTGTCCCATTTCCTTAACTAACCTTTGTCATTCAACAGGTCTATACAGTAAAGAAATATCGGTTTTTTATATCAAATTTCCTGAATGAATTAATTGTTGCTCATCAACATCCACCACTTTCTGACTATTCACTATTTCTGACATTTTATGTTATATTAACGTGTAGCATGAAGGGAAGGTGAGACATCGTAGAGGTCAAATGTTAAGTCAAACCAGCTGCGACGTCATCAACATTATAATGCAACATTTCCTTTTTGAATGGTTGTCACTGCATGGTTGTGACTGCAACCTGGTTTTATTTACTTTATAATGGATGGCCAACATGGTATCTTTTGAATCGTGGCATTTCACAGGGAATTCCACACACTAGGGATTATTGTGAAATCGGTACATCCGCAATGATCAAGGATCAAACAGAATGTTTCATGCAGGCTATGAACTGCGCCCTCTACTGATCGTTTGACAGCAGTCAGTTGTGCTTCATCGCTTCACTGTACATGACAAAACCAAATCACTTCGAATAAAAAATCTACTTGAAAAGACATCAAAATTCTGTTTATTGTAACCCATGTTTAATATGGACACGACAGTGTATTTTCCAACTATGTCAATCCATATCGTGTATTTCTTGATACGTATCCGTTAAAGACCGTTCATGGGTCATGTTCTGATGAGGAACATTTCCCTGTTTGAAAGGGGTTGGATCCGGCAGCCTTGCTTTACAGTAGTCCTTGGGGCGCCTGGAAATCCACGACCCTCAGGGGCATGGGAATGCTCCGGAAAAAATCGAGCCCCCAAATGGAGCCAATCTTTGGTTGCCTGTTGATTAAATTGGTCCCTCGCGAGGATTTTTGGCAGGCGAAAAATAATAACTTCTTCCTTTAAAGGAGACGCTATTTATCTGAATTCTGTTCAAGCAAGCCCTGTAAAGTTGCAGGTATGCCCTCTGGAATAATATATATGTTTTGTTAGAAATATTTGTTGGAAATACAGTAAATCGAGGGCACTTCACTGGAAACAAAGCTGGGCATTTCGCGACTGTGGTCTAGCGGTGATGTCCATTTAAAGTTACAGTATGGCACGGTTACAAGTCAAATCCTATCCTTTTTAAGGTCCCACAGTAGACTGTGAGAGCTGATGCTCTTTGGAATCAATAAAATTAGAACAAAACAAACAAGATCTTAAAGAGACCTTCAATTACCGTAACAGGAAAAATTACAAATTCAATCCACTTTTTCTCAAGTACTGAGGTACCGGCCAGTTAAGTCGTGTTAACCATCTTAGGAAAAGCTGTTAGTGGAAACTTATGTTTTCGGATAGGCAACATCCGACATCCAAATTAAAACCGAGGATTTCTTTCTACTGATATTTCAAATTGAAGCGAGAACTAGTCCTTTCACTTTCATTTGGAGACGAGTGCGATTTGTTGTATGGTTGTGTATCGTAAACATTTCAACAACTATGTACCTTGAAATCAATCTCTGATCTGATTGAATGTTGTCAGTTCCAGTCCTGGAAAGTCACTAATGAATTCTTAACTCCAATTTTTCCCGAGCAAAGATTCGGCAGAGGTTGAGGTCTTTTATCAATCAGAGGGCGTCTGATTTCTATGCGGATCAAGACTACCTTTAAGGAAATTTCGATTATTGCAAGTGGACAAAAGATATGCATCAAGCATATCGATAAACACACCACCTGCCCCTCCCACTTCTCACTCGCTCCTCCCATTTCCATCTCATCAACACGAACACTCACCCATGACGTAAAACATTCCAGAAGAGTTAGGCAGTTCGGTCTGTTTGTACTTGCTTGTATCCTGGTGTTGTAAACCAACGAATAATCCGACGCGGATTACTGAATAATGCTCTGATTGTTAGGATTATTTTATCTTGCTGCTAGGACTCTTATCAGATGATAACGGCTGTTGTTGTCTCTGTTATCCTCTGTACTATGTATTCCTAACATGTGGAATACTTCTTATCGAAAAGCATTTGTTTTTGTTCCCCCAACTAATGGCGCCTGTCGGATTAGGGAGTATTCTGATGGCGTGAAGCTAGTAACGGACTGTACGACGACACGTGTTAATGTTGCAATGGGAGTTAGGTTTGCCACGATCACGTGACTTCGAAACTAGAAAGCTGAAAGCTAGGATAGTTTTATTGTGTTTTGGTTACGTAGATATATTCCTTGTCATTTTTGTATGTCTTGCTATTGCTAAATCATTGTTAGTTTCATTATGGCATTTTAGGCTATCTATACAGATACACGTCAATTAGAATCTTTCCCGGCAACGTTATTCATAAAACAATAATTTCATAAAATCTTAATAATAATGAAACACTTTGAGCCTGTTAATTGTTCGTTTTAGCTTTTTTTCAATTTCTTGGATAACCTACCTCTTCGTTATTCCGTAGAACCCCATAAATAAATTTGAGCAGCATTTCATATTTTAATTTTACTGGTTGGTGACTTAAAACCAGCTGGCTAACATACTAATACAACAGGACACGCCAACATGCTGAGACCACCGGCAATGCCAGCTGAATTATTAAAAAAAAGAAATGACATGATATTTGTCTCCCGCACGGAAACACCACGCAGAACAAGCCAGCAGCGGCGGTGCACCGCGTCTTACCTCCCGTGGAGCCGTGGATAGCCAGCCGGCAAGCTGATCAATAGTCCCGGCTCGTATGCGGCAAACTCTCGCCATCAGAACAAACAAAAGACCCACCAGATGTGGATATTAATCATAAATTTTATCAAAGGCAGACGGGGTTCGGTCTTTCATTTCTGGTAGACATCCTCATTTTTTTGTAATTCAGGTACCGGATTTGCGATGATGCTTGCATATGAACCTGCATTTAAATATAATACAAATCGATTGAGGTTTTCGTGGAAAGGATTTCAGGAGCGTTATCCAAAATAAAAGCTCTAGAACTTTTCCCTAACATGCAATAAATTATATTAGCTAGCAGGAATTCAGATAGTTTGGTGTGTTGATAATTTTTTCAGTCGATTAACCGATGGGGATCACGGCCCTTGAGAAGGCTGCGAATCCTTTTCCATCTCTATTGCTCTTGTCTGTCAAGCTACTTGTAACGACGAAGATAGGGAAGGATAACATTCTCATTGCGTGTCTGGGAAATCAATGAAATTAGGGAAGAAGTAAAATGCAAGAATTCGACTCTAGCTGGACTGTAACCCTTGAGCGCAGAGTTAAAGCATGAGGAGAGTAACAGCTTTTCCACCAATGGAACCACTATTATCTCCTTTACTAAAGCCAAAGCTTACGCTGCTATCGGTCTGGCCTTACACCGTTAGCAGCGTAAGCTTTGACTCGTCTCATATTCCGTCATTTGAAATTAAATTTTTGATTTTTTTCAACTTCGATTCGACCGTGGAAAGCGCAGCTTCATGTGAAGATTTTGATAGCTTAGGCTACTTCTTGTCTTTTATTTTGCTATAACACTCAGCCCGCTGTGTGGGGAAGTACACCAAATCATCGTGTCATGCAAACAAGAGAGGTTATCAAATGTTAAGTAAGCTAGATAACCTTTACCATGAAGGTACAAACAGATTCCCATTGACAGCTGGCTTCCGATCTGAATTTTTCAATTATAAGAGAGGATGCGGGAAAACGACAAAATGTCACCTATGCGTCGTAAAGTGTGAATTCCGTCCCCAATCGTTCCTTCAGTGGTAAAGATAGAATTAATGCCTTGACCTTTATCACTTTACTGTACACCTCACTTCGGAAAAAGAATTAGTAAAAAACAAAAAATAAAAAGTAAATGAATATACTAACGAAAATGAAGACGTTATTTTCCATTTTGTAAAGTTAATTAGGCCTATTACCCACTACGTAGGCCTATTATTTACGTTTGAAACTTTTTAGTTTTACTTTAGAATTTGCTCTTTCCAGATTTGTAATGACAAAATGCAGAACACACAGAGATTTCAGCTGAACTAATGACGTAGAAAACTACAAAAAAGGCGCCTCCTGTGGAAAAAGCTTGGACCGTTTAGATTGCAATAATTATACTCGTAATTACATTTTGCGTGAGTTTCTCCTGATGAATATTCATAACAGCGTCTTCTTTCAGTAGTGGAGGCCTCTTGCTATGAATACAATGAATCATCGTCTGTTCGCCCGATAGCGGCGTCGTTGTCATTTCTGGTGACTTGACACGAACAATGAAAGGGCCTCGTCAAGGTATCTGGCCCGCTACGCTAATCGGCCTAATCGCTGAACTTACAATGCCTTGGATATGTAAGCATTGTAGCATGATTGTACTCAGACGAACTCCAGGGATTGGGCCTTTCACGAAAAGCAGGATGCGCAGTGTTTGAGCATTTAAGAAAGTTAGTCACTAAATCGCGGGTTTGTATCATACAGATAAATGGAAACCAAATCCACAACGGAACTCCCTGAAGCAGTATTGGTAAAATTGATTCTAGATTTTTGTTTTGTTTCCTTTTTTCTTATTGCCTTTTTAATCTGTTTCCTTTGTTGAGAAAAACGTTTCTCTAAAGAATGCACTGTTAACAAGCTTTTTATTTGGAGTAGGATTCTTTTACTTTATAAGATGACTGTTAAGTAGTTTGTCCGTCAGGTTCACTCGAAATTCATGATGACAAAAAGACATTTAACTTTGGAGGAAATCATGGAATCAAGAAATGTTCTTCTGAAGTTTGAACAATATGACTACCACCGCGAATATGGACCCGCGATTTTCTGAACGTGGTAGTTTAGCATGTACATTGTACATGTACAGTATATGTACAGTGTACATGTACATCGGCGCCGTCGAGGCGGCAGGCAGCATTCAGCGCCGATAATTACGTTCCGAACCAAGCAGTCCGCCTGATCGCTCCGCCCACCTCATTTCGTAGTCCACTCAAATTGCTGGATACACGACTCACGGTCGTTTGATAACAAATGAGCCTAGTTCATACGGCGCCCAGGCCTCGTTACGTTCACTGTTCATAGACCGTACCCCAGGCCAGGATGTACATGTACATGTACAGTGTACTGTACGTATATTCAGCAGTCTGTGCATGCGTACTCTGTAGGTTGTACATGTACATGTGCACTCAATGTTTTCACCGCAAACTGCATGTGTAGGGCCTATTTCGTTGAGATCGGTATCCTAACTACTTCAAGCTCTATCAACAACGATGTTGCCCTTGTGAAATGGTTATCATTGCCTACTGCTAATATGAGAAAGTTCTGGTTTTTCTGGAACCGTTTTCAAGTGGATTTTCAGCTACGATTCTCAGTTGTCAAACTGCAGCGTCCATGGTGCATGCCGCGCTAGCTTAGCGCTAGCGGCATTAGCAGCGTTATATAGACCGTGAAGTCTGTAACTGTATCGCGGATTTGTTTACCTAGCTAAAGACTTGCAACATGGACCGCGAAGTGAATGGGCCACGGGCGGTCTACACCGTGTGTCTCTACACCTGTCTCCTACTTTGTACTTGTACAATTCGACTTGTATGTGGTAAGTTTGCTAATCAGTACAAAAATTTCTTCTTTCAATGCCGTTCTTCATTATCCTAATTTTTAGTTAACTGCATCATCAAGAAGAGTGAATTTCTTGGCACCCGCGCCGCTCGCGGTCATGATATGGCAAGCCAGTCATATTTGTCGATAAGTACGAATACATTTTCATAATTGTTATAGGTGATGAATTACTTGATAAGTTGTTATATCTGATTTGATATATAAAAGTTTAAGCATGAGAGTAACATCAGTATATTGGAATTATAAAGATAATGATAAATACTACATACGCTGACATGAGCTTATGTGTGTTAGTAACCATAGAAACATTAGAAATAGTTACATTCTACAATTGATTTTTGAACAAAACGTTCAGCTCTTTCTTTATGTATTCTGCTGGCCACGCTGGTATAAATTAAACACAGATGTCGTCTCGCAAGACAAGCATGACACGTTTTAGTCTTTACCCTTTGCTGCAATCAGTATTCATCTTTGTGGTTGCTATGACAAGCTATAGTGACCTGTCGAGAGGTCATAATAAGTACTATTCTGATGACCGTATCTGACAGATGGAATGAGTAGTTTTGAAGAATCCATACAGGAATTTCTGGAGCAGAGACCCATCATAACTCAGACTTTGTACTATGGTGGTCAGTGGCACTGTTGAAGTATAACTGAATGAGTTCACTTCTAGTGTTATTTGACAGTTAACATTCCTCAACCGAGACGTTTAGAGGTATGTGTCTATTTATATTCCTTTTCTTCTTCACGATGGCTACACCAAGTCACTTTTCTGGTGGAAAGTTCTTGTACAACTTCGAAAAAAATCGTTTGATGTTCTGTTAATGAAATAAACGCGCCCTGGTTACGTTAGGACCTGATAATGTCTTCAGAAGTTCAGTTTGTCATGAACTAGCGTAATCTTAGCAGTGAATCTGGAATTTTTGGAACCAGATTGTGATTCAGAGTTCGGGTTATGGCGATAGACAGGCATGCATGTTGTAATCCACGCAATGCAAGATCAATTAGGACCAGTTTAACTTGTCTGCGTAACTCAGTTGAGGGATGAAGTCACGCAGAATGAACTCATTTCTGTTGTCTCGAAGCACGGAGAACTAAATCTTCTCTAGCTCTACCACTGCAGTGTACAGCGAGAGAATGTTTGGGGGGTCAACCGCACACAACCCCCTTCAACTCTGCGTCTGAAACTGGCAAATGACCCAGCACATATCGTTCTGGCAGACCCACAGAACCGTTGGTGCCGTCTCACTCGGGCAGTAAATGGGCAACACAATGCATCATCTGCTGAACCCTGACGGAGACAATACAGCGGTCCTCCAATACAGCACAGAGGATAATAGCGTAGAGTACACAATTCTTAGCGAATTAATCGACTTTTCCTGCAAACCAATGGCGCTAATGCCTGGCGGGCTACGAACCAAGAATAGCTTAAGTGCATTGATTTCCTCTCTCTGCCGTTGTTGGTTTTGCTTTGAGTTTGGCTGAGAGAGGGCCGTGTTGTTGTTCCATCTTGTTTGGGCATCTCTAAGCCTTTTCGTTGGGAGTTTACTGTCACAATGTTCATGATAAGTACGATGAGACCTGAGAACCTTAAGGAAGAGAAATACAGAACGTGGTGTTTTGAGTACGAGAGGCAGGATCCTCTGACTAAAATTCTGATCTGACATTCAATGTCTATCAAGACAGTGAAGACCCAATGGTGACCACTTTATCCGTTGGCTTCATATTGTTTCAAGGGATTCCGTTGTAATCCGACAGCACCAAATTCCCAATTCATTGTTGCTGACAAGTCGTAGTGTCTGCTTTCATCAATTAGTACTGAATCATCCTACTAGAACTTCGTGTAGCGCAGAGTTCATCACTACATTTTCACCCCATTGGACTCTACAATATGACAAATGGTGACAAGTCGGCTATTGCAACTTCCCTTCTTTATTTCCACCTCTGACGGAGTCCAAAGTTTGATACAATTCTTTTTTTTTTACATAATTTAACATGCGAATTGTATTGAAGCAATGGATAATTTACGCACACGACTCCGGTTGAGCACGGCGCAAGATAGTTAAACATCACGCAACTTGGTAGGACTAGGTGTCCATTTGATGCATTCTCTGTTCGGCTGTAAATGGGGCTCTCATTGGCTACCTAGCACCCCTCGGAAACGGCTACATACAAAATGCTAGAGCACTTCGCTTGCTTGCTCAGCGCGTATACTGTACACAAATTTATGATCTTTGGAACTAGGCCTTTATCAACGACCTTTATTATCGTACGCTCCAACATTTTTTTCCTGATCAGAGGGAGGTTTTTGATGAAGTCGGTCCGTCGCAAGAGTCAATTTTTCTGTTTGTATTATTCCCGATCCCTTTATGGTTACAATATAACAAAATTATGACAATATTTACTGACCAAATGACTTAGAGTGTTTGTGAATGCGTTTTTAAATCGTTGGAGCTTGGAAGTTAGGATATTGCTGTGAAGTGAATCATTGTGTAAGACAGTCACTGTAAGCCAACATCGTGTCTAACTAAATGGACTCAAGGTCGCTTGTGGATTGTAAATGCACAGACCAGACCGACCTGTCGTATATCTATCAATCAGTGAACAGACATTTACTATAGTCAGAGGTCATAAATAGGAGATCAAAATTAACTTGTTTAAAGCTCACCTCGACTTCTTGAATAGTGAAATACCTTGGCTAATCCTTGTGTACACGCGTTAAGACTTCCTTTTTCGGAATTCGAGAAAAGTGTTATGTCTTTATTGTCTAATGATGAATGCAAAATGAATTAAAAATGTCATGTCAAAGACGTGTCATTTCATCATCAATCCCGCAGCATAGAGGCTCCGAATTTTACATTTTAAATCCAGTTTTTGAATGTTCTAACGATTTACGTGTACGTGTACATATACCCCATAACCCGTAAGACAAATGCGTGAAAACTGAATATTGCCATCTCTTTCCACTGCGTATCGTGTATAAAATTATGGCTTCGTGAATGGATAAGAAAAGTTTCCCATCACGTTTGTGAAAAAGGCTCTGTCTAACAAACTTTTGTCGTGTAGAGAATGTGACAATTATTGTAACCATGAAGTTATGCCTGGAACAATTGGTCCTTGTGTATTGTTCGACTGCTGATGCATCATATGACTTTATTTAGCAGGAACCAGTCTGCTGCATTCCGAGTTGTAATATGATCCAATATAAATTCTGCAACTTTCCTGACGGTTTGTAGCGTCAGACTTTTTAAACCAAGTTTTTTTTATTTTAAATCGCATTTCCATGTGGTTTTTGTGAGCAGCTAATACACACATGTAATACCTCATCTTGTTTCAATCGAAGTACAATAAATGCAGAAGATACGTCACCAGTTTGGCGCCGAAAGTGCGTTTATTGTTTGTGTTCACGCCTTGTACTCCACTGAAGCGTGTATGACGGAAATATTGCAGGGTACCTTTTGGAAAGGTTCGAGTTGGTTGGAGACGACAACTCGGCACCACTTTGTTCAAAGTCCGGGTGGATGATATCTTTCCACAATTCACTGATTGTAAGAAAAGCAAATTTGCTCCGAATGAGGAAGAATAAACTTATGTCCTTTGATTATTGTAGCCTGTATACCAGGCAGGTTAATTTCGCTAGTATAAATTGTGCTTGCCAATCATCCCTCATAAGAGACAAACTGCAAATCCCGCATGGAAAGCAGAATTGCCAAGGGTACCAGCATAATCAGCCTGGTTTCTAATGACTAATTTGGTGTTAATATGCGTACTGTGATAGCAACGTTTAGTAGTCAAAAGCATTTTATCGTCAAAACGTTGCTTGTTCTGGATGCAATGGTGAAGGGTATTTCCTCTTTGGTTGTTGCGATCGGTTATCCGGAATCGAGAAAATGGTGTGACGAAGGAAAGTTTTAGGAACATGTGAATAGAAATAAGAATAAGATTTTCACTCCAAGCTACTGAGTTTATTTATTTCCCTCATTTCTTTTATTCAAGTTGTGATATATTGTAAGTATCGGTTCATTGTGTTTCTCCGTCCTGTGATCTTCAAATACTAAAGCAAATGTGTGGGGTGTGTGTGTGGGGGGGTAGTTATAATACAGCGTAAAATGATGAATGAAAATCACTTAATTTGGGGTCTTGAAGTCAGATTCATTAAGTGATGGTACTGTTCGTGTGGTTTTCGCCCAATTTTCCTAGCCTCCACCTGTCACATTATAAATTCTTTTACAGCAACTTGCGATCGTGAAAGTGTCTGGATGTTATGGTTTTAATCTTTTGGATTGACTGCAGAAGTGAGTTTGGAACAGCGACTGTTGTTAACGAGGGATTTTTTTGTCAGTGCTTTCTCCATTTGCTGCCATGCTCATGGTGTTGTGCCGTGCTTACATGTACATGTATGTACTGTTTCCATGCATTACCATGACCGCTGTTACAGCGTGGTCATGGTCAAAGCCTGAACAATCGAGCTGGGGTTCCTACTGCAATACTTATTGACTACTGTTGCTATTCTTTTCTCAGGCTTGCCACTATCTTTCTCTCATGCGGCATAATTCGTAGACAATGAATCATTTCGGCATACGGAACCCACGAGACGGCGCTGGGGATTGCCACTTCCTCTAAGTCCATGGAGTCTGGCCTTGAGACGTCATTTCCAAAAACCATGCACTTGAAGTTGGAGTTCATTGACAACTAGCTTTACAATGATGAGAATGTTTCTGTATGAAATTAATGACATGTGCTACTGTCAAGATGCAAAGGAAATGCCAGTTGGTAGGAGACTATTTCTCTCAAGAGAACACCCTTCATTCATCCAACATTTGACGGTCGAAAATTGCTAACTCAAATGCTTTGAATTGGACCATTGCAGATGTATCAGTTCTTATATTTAATTTGTATCGCTGGATCTTATGTAGAATCATGATTAATGAACCATTTCTGGTTTTTAACCTCACAGCCATTCAGCATATTTCGGTT